CCAGAGAATCAAATAGGAATGGCTTTAGGAGATTTTCTCTTATTGGGCAGGTTAAAATCCTTAGAGAGACTGGGCTGGATGGTGAAGTCAAACGGCGACAGAGACGAGGCTGAGGATCCAAACAGAGATACGTGAACGGGCATGTGGCAGACAGGAAGGCAGGTAATGCTGTAGATTCGGAGGTGAAGATTGGTAGGCAGGCAGGTAGGATGACAGGCGAGCGGCAGAGAGCGAGGAGACCAGGGGACGGTGAGCGACGTGTAGTGGAATTAACAACTCTAGACAGCGGTGAGTAATCCTGAGTGGAAGATGAGCAGAAGTTCAAAACACAAGACCAGGGCTGACGGGAACGGACTGACAAAAACACATGCTGAGTATTTGAGGCTTTAAACTCAAGACAGAACTAGTGTTACCCAAAGGCGAGTATCGACCGGCACTGGAGTTGTTTCACACCGCTCCTTAAGTACCCCTGGTCCTCTGATCAGGAGATCAGGAGCAGCTGGCTCTGACACGCCCACCTGAAACACAAACTGGGAACAACTGTTGTGCATTAGCAGATCAGATTAGTGAGCGGGGCAGATTGTGACAGTACCCCCCCCCCCCCCCCCCCCCCCCCCTCAAGGGGCGCCACCTGGCGGCCTAGCAGAGGAGGCGGAGGCGGAGGAGGAGGCAGAACGGGAAGCCTCGAAATCCCGGATGAGGGAGATGTCATCAATCCAGGACCCCGGGACCCACTGGCGGTGTTCCGGGCCATACCCCTCCCAGTCCACAAGGAACTGGCGACCACAACCCCGTGGCCGGACATCCAAAATGCGGTGGACCCGGTAGCCAAGGCCACCATCAGCAAGGCGGACAGGCGGAGGCGGGTCGGCAGGAGGACACAGAGTACTGGAGACAACAGGTTTGAGCAATGATACGTGGAACACAGGGTGTACCTTCATTGATGGAGGCAAGGTCAGGCGGACAGAGACAGGACTGAGGACAGCAGCGATGGGGAAAGGACCAAGGAATCGGGGAGAGAACTTCCTGGAGGAGTCCCGGAGCTTGATGTCACGGGATGAGAGCCACACCATGTCACCAGGGGCTTAGACAGGCGCTGGACGCCGATGACGATCTGCCATCCTTTGATTGCGCTCCACCGTACGCTGAAGAGCCATACGAGTCTGGTTCCAGGTGCGTCTAGCCCTGCGGAGGAACTGAGGCACAGTGATGGGAGAAACAGAGTCTGAGGGAAACAGAGGGGCCTGGTATCCGAGGGAGACCTCAAACGGGGACTGACCAGTGGAGGAGGAAACGTGAGCGTTATGCGCGTACTCTATCCAGGGCAACTGTGAGCTCCAGCTGGAGGGGTTGGAAGAGCAGACGCACCTGAGCATAGCTTCAAGCTCCTGGTTTAGGCGTTCGCACTGGCTGTTAGTTTGTGGGTGGAAACCTGACGTGAGCGAGACCCGGGCCCCTAGGTGTGTGGCGAATTCAGTCCAAACCCGGGCTACGAATTGGGGTCCCCTATCCGAGAGGATCTCGGAAGGAATGCCATGCAAACGAAAAACATGCTTGATGAGGAGGTTAGCGGTTTCTGCAGAGGAAGGTAGGGACTTTAACGGGACCAGATGACATGCTTTAGAGAATCTATCCACGACTGTGAGAATGCAGGTGAAACCCTTAGAGGGTGGTAAGCCAGTCACGAAATCTAGAGCTATGTGAGACCAGGGGCGCGGAGGCACCGGCAAGGGATGGAGTAGACCCTGGGGGGCTTGGTGGCTACTCTTAGATCTGGCACAGACTTGACAAGCGCTGATGTATTCCTTAACATCCTTATACATAGAAGGCCACCAAAAGGTCCTACGGATGAGCGCTAAAGTTCTGCCAAGGCCGGGGTGAATGGAGAATTTAGCTGTGTGAGCCCAGTGGATCAAGGAGCCGCTAGTACTGGAGGGAACATATGTCTTGTGTGGGGGACCGGTACCTGGGTCTGGTTCCAAGCGTTGTGCTTCCAGTACCTTATTGGTGATGTCCCAAGCTATGGCGCCAACAATGCAGGAGGCTGGCAGGATGGTGGTGGGTTGGGTGTCTTTATCAGTGGCATACTGTCGGGAAAGTGCATCGGGCTTGACGTTCTTGGAACCAGGTCTGAAAGAGATGATAAAGGTGAAACGGGAGAAAAACAATGACCAGCGGGACTGACGAGGATTAAGTCTTTTAGCCTCCTTCAACTATGCCAGATTCTTGTGGTCAGTCCATATTATTATAGGATGTTCAGCACCCTCCAGCCAATGACGCCACTCCTCTAAAGCCAGCTTGATGGCCAGGAGTTCTCTGTCTCCCACATCGTAGTTCTGTTCAGCCGGTGAAAGACGACGGGAGAAAAAGGCGCAGGGATGGAGAAGGTGGTCTGTGGGAGAGACCTGGGAGAGAACAGCTCCTACTCCAGTATCTGATGCATCGACTTCAAGGGTGAATTGTAGAGAGGTGTCAGGACGTGTAAGAATGGGTGCCTGGGTGAAACTGGTCGTGAGGTTGTTGAAGGCTTGGTCGGCCTCCGGGGACCACAAAAACGGAACCTTGACTGAGGTGAGTTGGGTGAGTGGTGAGGCAATCTGACTGTAATTTTTGATGAAACGTCGGTAGAAATTTGCAAAACCCAAAAATCTTTGTAACTGCTTATGTGTCTCCGGGGTAGGCCATGTCCGAACTGCCTCGATCTTATCAGGATCTGTTTTAAGCCGACCACTCTCCAGGACAAAACCCAGGAACTTGACAGACGAGACGTGGAACTCACATTTTTCGGCTTTGACATACAGACGATTCTCAAGAAGGCGTTGGAGCACAGCTCGGACATGCTGGCGGTGTTCTGTGAGGGACCTGGAGAAAATCAGAATCTCATCCAAATAGACAGTGACGAATTTGTTTATGTAATCACCCAAAACTGAATTAACCAAAGATTGGAAGACTGCGGGGGCATTAGTGAGTCCAAACGGCATGACTAGGTACTCAAAGTGTCCAAGAGGGGTCTTGAAGGCTGTCTTCCATTCGTCCCCTTCCCTGATTCGTACAAGGTGGTATGCATTGCGTAGATCCAACTTAGTGAATACAGAGGCATTATTTACAGGATCGAACGTGGAGGAGAGTAGAGGTAGAGGGTATTTGTTTTTTATGGTAATTTGATTCAGTCCTCGATAATCAATGCAGAGACGTAGGGATCCATCCTTCTTAGAAACAAAGAAGAATCCCGCACCCAGGGGGGACGTGGATGGTCTTATGATACCTGCAGACAGGGACTCAGAAATGTAATTAGCCATAGTTTCTTGTTCAGGTTTGGAAAGGTTGTAAAGTCGACTTGAGGGAAAAACAGCGTCGGGAACAAGATCGATACAGCAATCATAGGGTCTATGGGGAGGCAGTGAGGATGCATGGTCCTTACTGAATACCTGCTGCAGGTCATGATACTCTGGGGGAACCTCCGTCAGATTGGGGGGTTCTTGTGGTGGGCTCCTGGCTTCTCTGACGGGAAAGGGTGCTGAGAGGAGGCAGTGTGATAGACAAAACGGACTCCAGGCAACGATAGATCCTGTCCTCCAATCTAGGTGGGGGTTGTGAGTGATGAGCCATTCGTGACCCAGGACAACAGGAGACTGAGGGGAAGGAAAAACGAAAAAACTCACAACTTCGTGATGATTACCAGAAACCAACAGATTTACCGGGGCAGTGCGATGGGTTATAGTGGTGAGAGCACTCCCGTCCAGTGAGGAGACCTTTATGGGTGATGGGAGGAGAACAGTGGGGATGTTTAGCTGCTGAATGAGTGCCAGGTCCAAAATGTTTCTTTCACAGCCTGAGTCCAACAGAGCTTCTGTAGAAAAAGTCTTGTGGTTAAAAGTGACAGAACAAGGTAGGGAACATCGGGAGTTTGGGTTACTTGCATTACTGCCCACCAGTAACCCCAGTTCTACTGGTGGGCGATGGCTTTTGGCCGAACCGGACAGGTTGAAATAAAGTGGCCTGACTGACCACAATATAGGCATAGACCTAAGGAGCGACGCCTCTGTTTCTCCTCAGGGGACAGTTGAGCGCGTCCGATCTGCATCGGCTCCTCTGATACTGTTGTGTGGGAGGTTTGTTGTGGAGTTTGGTGGACACGTTGGGTGGGAAATGTAACCGGCGGAGGTCGGAATAGACTAGTCCTGTGTCTCTCCTTAAGACGCTTCTCGATGTTTGTAGCCAGGGTGATAAGAGCTTCAAGGTTCTCTGGTTCCAGGCAGAAAGCTAATTGGTCCTTGATACGCTCAGATAGGGCCTGAGAGAAAGCGGCTTTAAGAGACGCCTCGTCTAATGTGGAGACTGAAGCGAGGGTTCGGAATTCAATGGCAAATTCAGACAAGGATTTTTTACCCTGTTGTAGGTTCCAAATATGTTTGGGTAATTCTGCTGGGGACTCGGTGGAATCGAATAACTGCTTGAATTCAGTCAGAAAATCTGAAAGGGGACCGTGTAGAAAATCAGGCTGGCGACTCTTGGCTTCATCCCACTGCAAGGCTTTGCCCCTGAACAAACCAACCATATATGAAATTTTAACTGAATCATTACAAAATGTCTCTGGAGAACGATTAAAAGCTAACTGACATAATAATAAAAAATTGCGGCATGTACCTGGTTCACCAGAAAAAGTTTCGGGTAGAGGAGACTCGACGACCCGGAAACCGAACCCAGGTGGAGGAACCGGAAGTGATGACTGGGATGGGACTGCGGAAGTGACGGTAGGCGGAGAAGCGGTAGACGGAGGAGAAATACGAATAGCCTCATTCATCTGGCGTAGCGCGGAGTCTAGCTGGAACAGACGCTGGTTAGTGGCGGATAATTGGCTAAGGACGGTTTCTATAGTTTTTTCGTGTTTGGCAAGAGTACTGGCAACGGCTGGCGGAAGTGATTCTTCCATGGAGGTGGATTTATGGCCGGTCGATTCTGTCATGTTGGGTATATATTTAACCCAGGACATGAAAGAATCACAAGAGGAAACGAGGGTGAGTAAATAACCAATAATATTTATTAAGGAACGTGATGAAACTAAAAGCGCTGCTCCAAACGAGAACAGGAAAAAGCCACGATCTAGGATGAGAAAACAAACGGGGATTAAACTCACAGTAAACAAACCCTGGAACCAGAGAATCAAATAGGAATGGCTTTAGGAGATTTTCTCTTACTGGGCAGGTTAAAATCCTTAGAGAGACTGGGCTGGATGGTGAAGTCAAACGGCGACAGAGACGAGGCTGAGGATCCAAACAGAGATACGTGAACGGGCATGTGGTAGACAGGAAGGCAGGTAATGCTGTAGATCCGGAGGTGAAGATTGGTAGGCAGGCAGGTAGGATGACAGGCGAGCGGCAGAGAGCGAGGAGACCAGGGGACGGTGAGCGACGTGTAGTGGAATTAACAACTCCAGACAGCGGTGAGTAATCCTGAGTGGAAGATGAGCAGAAGTTCAAAACACAAGACCAGGGCTGACGGGAACGGACTGACAAAAACACATGCTGAGTATTTGAGGCTTTAAACTCAAGACAGAACTAGTGTTACCCAAAGGCGAGTATCGACCGGCACTGGAGTTGTTTCACACCGCTCCTTAAGTACCCCTGGTCCTCTGATCAGGAGATCAGGAGCAGCTGGCTCTCTGACACGCCCACCTGAAACACAAACTGGGAACAACTGTTGTGCATTAGCAGAGCAGATTAGTGAGCGGGGCAGATTGTGACAGCTATAGGCTTAGACTGCTGGAGGACACACTGACCACTTTCCACACTCGACTACTTTCTTCTACTATTTTCTCTTTAACTGTATTATTTCCTGCTATTTCAGCTGTTAACTTTATTTTTTCTCTAAGTTTCTTTCTCCCCAGAAGAAGCTGTTCTGCTGAGCTGTGGTGGCTTCACGGAGGGGGCCATTGGCTTGAAGAAGAAGAAGAACATTTGACATTGAATGTGCTACTGCTAGTTTACCCTTTAGTTATAGATTCACTAGGATAAATACAATAAAGTTTTTCTCTCACCAAATTGAAAATTTACTAAGAAATCACAATGTAACCATAGAAACACTACTTGGCGTGTATGTGTGTGTCTGCTCTGTCTTCTCCATCCCCAGTGAGTCATGGTGGATGGCTGCTTATACTGAGCCAGGATCCTCTGGAGGTTTCTTCCTGTTAAAAGGGAGTTTTCCTCTCCACTGTCTCTATATGCTTGCTTAGTATGAGGATTGCTGTAAAGTCACTGACACTAGTCAGTGACTTGATGCAATTAGCTGGCTTCCTTATATATGAAACATTTTTCTGATTGGCTTTATGAACTCACCTGTATTGGAATGTTTATTATGTGAAGTGCCTTGAGACGTCTCTTGTCGTGATTTGGCGCTATATAAATGGTAAATGGCCTGTATTTGATATAGCGCCTTCTAGAGTCCTAGAACCCCCCAAGGCGCTTTACAACACAATCAGTCATTCACCCATTCACACACACATTCACACACTGGTGGGGATGAGCTACAATGTAGCCACAGCTGCCCTGGGGCGCACTGACAGAGGCGAGGCTGCCGAGCACTGGCGCCACCAGTCCCTCCGACCACCACCAGCAAATAAACTTGAATTGAATTGAATCGAATACGTCATTTGAGTTGTTACTGTGATTGGCTAAAGACAAAATCTGGTAGCCAGTGCCAGCTGGGCACTACCTTGTCCTCCAATCAGCTCTAACTATTCTACCAGTTAGCCCCTCCCTCTTTCAGACGGTTTCTGCTGCAGAGATTCCAGATCGAAATGTGCAGACTTGACACGGGGCGGGGCTTCACAGAGAGATCTGGCTGCTGCCAGGTTAGGCCACCCTAACAGATTTAGCAAAAGCAGAATTAAACCCGAGCATCTCACCAGCGTTTATCTTGGTCCGGTTCTGACCCAAGCAGTTGTTGTAGCTGCTTTAATGTTTTTTTTCTTTTCTTCTCTCTGAAACCATCCTTCTCACCAATTAAATGACCACCAGAATGTCCACTGTCAACTTTCTCCCAGAACCACAACAAAGTTTGCTTTGTTTGGGGGGGGCAGAGTGTTTCAAACACTAGAACCTTTCACTGAATCTACAGTGAAAACTGCAGGGTGCAGATGGATAAACATATTAAAGAAAAGCAGAGTTTTCACCTCTGATGAAGCCTTTAGTGAGTCTACAACACACCTCCAGCCTCGTACCAAACTGCTCACAGACATAATTAGTCCAACTGAATGAAAAAAGGTTGAACAGAAGCAAGAAAACTGAGCAAAACTCAGGATAAATGTTTGATTCACATCAACATCAGCATCAAATGGATGGAAACATAACTTTGCCTGTGAGCTATTGTTGCTATATGTACAGTGTGTCCTCATTTCTTAGCTGCTAATAAATCATTGTATTAGATAATATCGGAGAAAGCCCATATCAAGCATCCCAGGAAGTTAAAATCATCCATCCTCCTCAGTTTAAATCATGTGATTATATTTTCATATGTCTGTAAACACACATTGAAGGACAAAAGACCCAAATGCTTTTACTGTCAGATTTCTGCACAAAGGTAATAAAGACCTTTTACCTCACCAGCTATTCAGAACAGGTGTTTATTTTCTGTCCTCCATCAGCAGCAGAGGAAGGTGACTCCAGCAAATTAATGGTGTCACCCGGCCTTCGTGACGCCTCCTCCTTCATCAAACTCCAATGACAGGATTGTGAAAAACGTAAACAGGATTATACAAACGAGAAGAGGAGGCGTGATGAGGCATCAGCCCAGGAAGAAATATTTGTGAACATGTGTCAAATGTCCACTGGTAATCATGCAACCACATGTGTGTGTGTGTGTGTGTGTCTTTATTGAAATGCACACAAATTCAATTTAGGGTGTTTTATAGGTGTGCTTGTTCCTTTTTAAGTGCGCTTAAGGTGCACTTGTGAGAATGTGCACTCGTGTGCTTTAGAGACAATCATAAATGTAGCGCGAGAGAGGTGGCAGAGGGATGTGATGGATCATCTGTGTGCTGCAGGATGGGTCTCCAGGGAGGAGCCATGCTACATCCTACCATGGAGGGGCATCTTAGAGTAATTGGGTCACTGGTGCTGGAAGGAGAGTTCCCACCAAGCCACACTTAAGGAGAAAAGGAGATGACAGCAAAAAAGAGGAGTGATAAATGATTGGAGAGAGGATTGTATGAAAGAAGAAAGGAAACGGTGCATGATTCACATCGGGTGAAACTGGCAGCTGTGTTTGCTTTTGATTCTCCCTAGAACAGCTGCAGTCATTTCAAGAAGCCAAGGATTCAACTCCTAAGGTTCTCCAGCCCTGACTGCTTTGCACTGTCGCCTTTATCCTTTTGTTCTTCATCCAGCGAAGCTCAGCGGTCAAATCAGATCAAACGTATCTTTAATTATGCCAAAGATGTGGGAAAGACCCAAGTGGGAATCATCCAGCTGCTTATGGGTTTTGGAAGGGAGACTCAAGAGGATGCGGAGAGAGATGGTGAAATAAAAGGAGAGGCAGACGTGGGCGTCCTCGTCTTCTATGGCAAGAATGAAAGGTCAGGGACTGAAGAGTGTGTAAATCACTCTAACGCCTGAGGGCAGAAACGCCAGAGCTGACAGCTTACCTGCTGTTTCTGCTCCGGTGATTCTCCTCCATTCTAACCTGGCTGCTGTATTGTTTCATTGGGTGTAAAACAAGATTATCTAGTGCTAAAATGTAATTGTGTCTTTTGAGGGTCTGTTTGCTGAACATCTGTATCTGGTGCCCTGGTGCTGGTAGAACATCTCATTGAAAAGTCAAAAGGGCTGTAAACCAATAGGATGTTGGAGGATTTTTGTCAAAGACTTTGGGGGAAAACCAGGTGGTGACCATGAGGAAATACTTTTTTCATGTATCTTGGTTCTTTTTTTATCTTCCAACCACAACTTAAAAATGTGCCGTAAGCTCCTGCTCCTCCTCGTTTATAGAAGTCATCTGAATTATTATTCGGGCATCTGATTGGAAAACCTCTTGGTCACTGCTCTGGGAATGTTCCTCAGGGAGAAGACGCTGGAGCAAGGAAGGATTAATGGATGATTGTCACCAAAGCCAACCAACTAATCAGCCTGTAGTGACTTAAAATCACAGACGTAAACAAAAAAAGCATTATGGTATTTCAACAGGAGTAGCAAACATTTATTCCTTCAAAATCCCAATGTTCCTAAAGAGCACTCCCATGTTTTCAACAGAGTCTGACACTTAAACTACGACTAAATGTATTTAATAGTGTTTTTGGGAGTTATTCCCACTAGGAATGAGGTTTCCAGATGTTTCCTACACATGCACCCAGCTACTAGCAACTTGTGAACAGCAACAAATTATCATCTTAGATGTGTTCTTGCTGTGTCGTATCTCTAATTCCATGCTGTAGTTCTTTTTTAAAACACAGAGCAGTTTTGTTTGTCGCCCTCTGCTGCCCGCTCTCCCCTCTCCGACGATGCAGTCCCATGCGCGGTCCAACGTGTAAACTCCATCGTCTCTGTTCATAGTCCCACATCCACCTCTCCTTATCTCTTTAGCTTCTTTTATCCATCTTTTGTATTTCTGTTGTTCGGTGTTTATGATCCTTGTGTTGTCCCAGTACATTACATGGTTTTCTCTTGTGCAGTGATCTGTTACGGCTGACTTCTTTATTGTACTTTCTGCTTCTTCTTTTGCTGCTTTTGTGTGTTTTTGACTTGTTTCTTTCTCGCGTTCCTTTCTATGTTCTATTGTTCGTGTGTTGAGTTGGCGTCCGGTTTCTCCTATGTATGTTTTTTTGCAGAGTTTGCGTGGGATTTCGTAAATGACCCCACATTTAAGTCCAGCTGATGTTTTGTCTTTTGGGTGTACTAGTCTGTTTCTAACAGTTGTGTATGGTTTTGTTGGTGTGTTTATGTTGTGTTTTTTCATTGTTGCTCTTATTTTTTCTGTTATGCCTTTGATATATGGTAAAGTTATCACTGGTTTTGGTTCTTGTCTTTCTGGGTTTCTGGTTCTTTGCTTAGGTTGTTTTTTCTTTCTGTTGTTGTTTGTGGTTTTCCTTTGTTTATTGCCCATGTCGGGTATCCACAGGTCTTTAAAGCATGTTGTATGTGTTTGTGCTCTTGTTTACGGTCTCTTTCTTCTGTTATTATGTTTGCTCGGTGATATAATGTTCTGATTAATGACATTTTGTGTATGGTAGGGTGTTCTGATGTCCATAATAGATATTGGTCTGTGTGTGTTGGTTTCCTGTATGTGTTTATGTTTAGGGTCCCGTCGGTCTGCCTGGTTATTTTCATGTCCATAAATGCTATACTGCCTTCTGTTTCTGACTCATAAGTGAACTTTATGCTGCCTGTGTTGTTGATGTTATTAAAGTGTCGTGTTAGTGTTTCTGTTTGTCCTTTTGGTATGATTTCCAGTATGTCGTCTACGTAGCGTTTCCATAGTTTTATTTTGCCGTTTGGGGGTGTGGTGGCTATGGCTTTTTGCTCTAGGTCTTCCATGAAAAACTCGCACAGGGTGGCTGATAACGGGTTACCCATGGCGAAGCCTTCCAGTTGTTTGTATATTGTGTCATCATATGTGAAGTAAGTGGAGTTAGCTACCAGTCCTATCAGTTGTACTATGTCATCTGCTGTGAGGTTTGTTGTTTTGTGTAAAGTCTTGTCCTGTCTGATTCTGTTAACTACTATGTCTATGGTTTTTTGGGTTGGTGTTTTTGTGAACAGGGATGTGACGTCATTTGAGATGAGTATGTCATTGTCTTCTATTGTAATCTCCTTTAGTTCTTTTGCCAGTTCTATGCTATTTTTGCAGTGTTGATCTGTGTTTCCTAATAACGGGCTGATGATTTTACTGATATCTCTTGCCATGTTGTACGTTGGTGTACCTATGCTGTCTACTATTGGCCTAAGTGGCGTGTTTTGTTTGTGTATTTTTAGAGTTCCATATATTCTTGGTGTTATGTTTGCTGTAGGAATCCAGTGTTTGTACATTTTTTCTGTTATTTTGCCTTTTTCTTGTAGTGGCTTCAGTAATATTTTCATGTTTTTCTTAATGTTTTCTGTTGAGTCTTTTTAAAGTATTTTGTATGTATTTTTGTCCTCTAACATCTGTTTCATCTGTTGTTAATATTTTTCTTTGTCCATTACTACTGTGGTTCTTCCTTTGTCTGCCGGTAGAATAATTATCTGTTTATTTTTGGATAAAGCTGTCATGGCTGATTGTTCTTTTGTAATATTGCTGTGTTGAATTTTGCTGTTCTTTAATATCCCAACTACGTTATTTCTAAGTTCTGCTTTCTTTCCCTCATCTGTGATCTGTTGACATGCTAGTTCTGTTGCTACAATAAATTCCTCATATGGTATTTTCTTTGGTGTTACTACAAAGTTTAAACCTTAAATATGCTTTCTTCTGCTTCTGTTAGTTCGTATTGTGAAAGGTTACATACCCGTGAGCTTTGTGTGGTGTTATCTTGTTTCTCTTTTGTCTTTTTCTTGTTGATGAGTTTGTTTAACTTCTTTAATATCCCAACTACGTTATTTCTAAGTTCTGCTTTCTTTCCCTCATCTGTGATCTGTTGACATGCTAGTTATGTTGCTACAATGAATTCATCATATGGTATTTCTTTTGGTGTGAATGCAAAGTTTAAACCTTTCTTTAATATGCTTTCTTCTGCTTCTGTTAGTTCGTATTGTGAAATATTACCCATGAGTTTGGTGTGGAGTTATCTCGTATTTCCTCTTGTTTATGAGTTTGTTTAACTTCTTTATGCGTCTTTCTTTTACCTTTGTGAACTCTTTTTCCTGTTTTTACATCATGTGTCCTTTAATTAGTTCCTCCATTTGTTTATCAAGTTTGTAATTCCTTTTTAAGTCCAGGTGTCTTCTTTCCAGTTCGTCTTCTACTTGCTTCTGTTTGGTTATGACGTTTCTTATCCTTTCCTTGAGTAGTGCTCTCTGTGCTCTTTCTATTATATTTTGTGCTGTCTTGGTCCGGATCGGTGTTCTCAGCTGTAGGCTTGTGGGTGTGATGTTTTCGTCCCGGCATCTTAAACTGAAGCGAAGGTGGTTTATTAGACGTGCGCGTTTTTGATGTAATCGCTCCAAACAGCGGAAGTCCTTCGTTCCTTGTTGTCTGTATTTTTCTTTGAACATCTTAGGTGTGTTCTTGCTGTGTCATATCTTTAATTCCATGCTGTAGTTCTTTTTTAAA